TGTTTCCCCCGTATTCAGTCGTGATGCTAAGCCAAGCTAACTAGCTGCTGGCTGTAGCTTTATATTTAATAACGTAAAGACATGAGAGTGGTATCAATCATCTCATTTAACTCTGAAAAAAAGCCAAGAAGTGTATTTTCCAAAATGTTGAATTGCTCTTTTAAATAAACTTTTATACATACAATTATTATTTTAACAATATAATTTTTGAACTAAACTAAACCTCAACCATAATGGTGGAAGGTCAGAAAACTGTCATATCAATGTATTTTTACAATTTTGTAAGGCACTAATATGGTGACACTGAGAAACTACCTTTTTTTGTTTGGAGGACTTGTTAAAAGCAAAAAGCAGCAATCACTTTCGTTAGTACAATGTCCTCACAACCAATAGAAATGATGTCCAAAGCTACAAAAATAACACCTGTTGTGAGTTATCCTCTAAGATGGAACATGAAGGTTTACTGTTTACAGTAGACGAGGTGCTTGTGTCTCTGTGAGCTGCTCACCTAACAGCAGACTTCAGGAGGAATGACACTGGCCATTAATGTTTAAGATCTTCATTTGGTCACTGTGGATAGTATATCTGGCAGGCAGTAGCTCTACCTCGCTCACCTCCCGTGGCTCATTACTAGTAAATCAACCTGCGGGCACCATAAGGGCTCCCTATTGTAGATCCAAGATGGATACTGGCTGTTTGTGACCTTTAGAAGGTTTCTTTTTTTTCTAAATTGAACTGGAGTCACTTGCTATTGGAGCAAATTCTCATGAAAGAGGAGAAAGTATAGAGGCAGAGTGGGAAGTGGAAGCTTTCTGCCTGAAGTAGGTTATAGTCTGCAGCATTACAACAACCATTTGTTGTACTCCCTGTAGTGTTGTCTGATCATTATGACAAGTTGTAACACGTGGGGAATGTTTTTCAGGTAAATGGTTGATGGTGTTTCCATCCCCACAAGAGACTCCTCATAATACTTATGAGGAGACACTATAGAGAGAAAAGTGTGCTTGGTTTACATATCTTTGGCTGTTTTGCTGGTCCTCCGGCAGTGTACAAACAGCAGTAAGCATATCATGAGGTTCTCTGAGGACTTGTTCCTTCATGTGGATAGTGTTTACCCTGCCAAACAACACCTGAGGCACAAAGATCTACTGTTTATCCCCCTGGGGGAGGTGTTGTGAAACAGTGAGGGTACAGGGAGGTGTGTGTTTATGTTTGTGCGTGTGAGGATATACTCTGTACAACCTTATACAGTCTATGGTACAACCCTACAACTGCACTTTTTACCAATTCAGCAACTATTTCTGTCTTCTTTCTCTCTCTCCCTCTGAGACTTGCCGATAAGAAAATGGCTGTAGCAACAGTGTTTCCAGAAACTGCCATTGTTTCCTGAGCCAGTGTTGAAGGGAGATTAAAAATAATAAGTAGTGGTGGCATTAGAAATGGTGGCAGGCGACAAAACATTCATTCCAGTTTGTTGTTGAACTACTACCCTGCCGCTCTGCAGGGACTGATAAAAGTTATGCTGCTGGCACAACACCTGTCTCTTTTTATGCATTTATGCTTACCTGGCTCTTAAGGACAAGACATAGTGGTTTTTAAAAGGCGAATATATGGACCCTTACTTACTGTCGCTATGCCCGTCAACCTATTACAGCACATAATGCCGTTTACAATGACAGCGCTGGCAGATTTAGTTCTTAGTAATTTTTGGAACAATGTGTCTTCAATTTCATAAGTAGAAAAAAACAGGCATCTCATTTCTAGCTGACAACTGTGGACAGCTATAAAGATGACTGTTGCAATCAGATTTATCAGGAGTAGCTACCTAATGTAAGCTAATGCTAACACTAAAACTACATGAAAGATTTTGTCAGAATGAAAACTGTAAAAAGATCTTAAATATGCATATGATAGCTACATACAGGATATAGTGCAAAGAGACTGAGGCCAAAGCTAATCTAAGGTAAAAAGTTAGTATCCTCACCAGTTCATGATCCATGAGACATGGATATTAAGAGACAGTATTGTTCTTGTATTGTCGTGCAGAGTTAGTCCATGATAAGTAAGAAAAATCTAAGATCAGATTGTTATTTTTTGTTAAACACAACAGCTTACATACTTGAAAAAGCAAAGGTTAGATTTATTCTTACTTGTTTGTATATTGTTTGTACAGTATGTTTCAGTTAAGTGTTACAAGAGAAAAGACTTTTAGGGTGAGGGTGTTTAGCAAACATGACACTACCTCAGATGACGAAGTTGACTGTTGTTGAAGGAGTGAAATCATGACCAATTCCAATGACATATAACACAACAGAACCGCTAATGTTAAACTCTAATAGCATCCAGGCTTCCCACAAAATGTAGCTAGCTAATGAAATGCTCCTCGCCTTTTAAGAAACATTTTATTACTGCAGCAAGCTAGTTAGGACATGTTAACATTTGTCGCCCTCCAAACTCTTTAAATACATAGTATATCTGTTACTACAGCTCAATGCTCGCTGCTCAGTTGATGTCCTCTTAATAGATCTTTTTTTTTTTTTTGAGCAATTATTTGATTAATTGATTATTATCTGTAATATCACTAATGGGCACTGATATCAACAAGACTTGTCAAATGCAGCTGCATAAAGAAAGAAGCACAACTGGAAAGGTTATTCTGGCCTTTTATCCTTTCTAAATTCAGACTAAAAGATGTTTGTGCATTGATCTTTCAATAGGAAGTGCAAAGTTCAACTGGAGGTTCAATTATTCAAAATATTGCATATAATTTAAGTTTGTTTACTAGACTTATCTAATTGATCCCCCAGTGCTGCTTCGCCATACAAAACTGAAAATTTACAAACATACAAAATTTTCTGAATACACACAAAATCTTTTCTCTGGAGTCAACAGAACTAAATGTGCTGCTAAATCTGTGGGACTTCAAAGCTGTTTTTCTCTGCTCTCTTGCCAGGGTCATCACAGATAGCCAACTCCTATCTGCCTCCCCAGGCAAGACTTAGAGCTTTGACTGTTGGTTTGTGGTTAGAGTTCAAACTTGGCTTCAACATTCAGCCGACCAGCAGCAGCAGTAGAGGCGACAACTATACACACATGAGAGCTGGGGCAGAGAGAAAAATATGAAAAAGATATATATTGGCAAAACTGCCCTCAAAACACAAAGAAATGGTTGCAAACATCAGAAAAGAAGGTAAGATGAGTCAGTCTCGGGAGTGTTGTAAACTCTAAACATCAGCCTCATTATCAGGGAATCCATTTGACTCATTTTGACTAATGGAAAATGGATTTACATTGGGCGGTCATGACCATTAAAAAGCCATTAAAAACATAATGTGGCATCTATTCATTCCCATCATTCATCTTCATATCTATTGTCATGTATCAGATGACATCTACATCCAAGTTATGGCTACACTACATTTCACCAACAACAGCCTTAGCATCTGGACCCAAAAAATGTAATACCCAAAAAAAACATTATCAATCGCTGTGAGCTCAGACTTAATTAAACTGGCATTACATAGTGATAAGAGCCCAGAGCAATTTTCACATACTTACAATAGCTCTCTGGCTCCTTGCCATGTGATATTACAACATCACTTGCAGCTGTTAGACCATGGAGAGGTTGTAAAGATTTTGTTTTGTTGTAGTGCCAGGCAAAGCAGAGTGGGCTGAACGTGAAGCCTCAGCATGTCGGATACATAAACTATTCAATCAAATCTGTCAAACATTTATATAGGAATAGTTCAACATGGGGAATACGCTTATTTGAAGATGAAAAGTTCATTCATCTGCCTAGAATGTCTCTGCAGTATCTGGCTATTGTGCAGGTTGCCAGATATGGGTTATATATGGCAGCCTCATCATGACTTTGGGATTCTGCACATAGTCACTGCTCCCTCACAACCACACATTTTTACATTTACACCTGCATTGAAAGCTCCAGGACTTTACGTAACAAACAGCTGATGAGAGTGGTATCACTAAGCAAAGAAATCCAATAAGTGTATTTTTTAAATTGTTGATCAATTCCTTTTTTTACAAAGCCAGATGTTTATCTACTACTCCAGCATCAGGGTCCTTGTTTTTGGGCTTATGATTTTGCTTGGCTACTCATGTAATGTCTTCTTACTGCGTGATGATATCTTAATTAGTTGCGATCTTAAACCAAGTACCCAGACATTAAAGGTAGTCCATTTCCCCACCCAAATATTGACACAACACATTCTGTAAGTCTTTCTGTAGACTCCACTACTACTGCCAGCCTCCTAATTGAGGCTCTGGGCTGAGGTGAGGTGGATGGAGGTGTGCACATTGCGCCTGCTGGTTGGCAGCGTTGAGCCATCAAACCTCCATGAGCCAAGTATCCATCAGTCTGGCAAAATGCGAAATGCCCCAGGGCGCATACTGCCCCTGCTCCCCATCGGAAGCCTTTCATTACCACATCCATTCTCTCAATCAGTCCTGTCGGTGTGTTTTCGTCCCCCACCCTCAAAGCTGCATCAAACACACTGCCAAAATATTGCTCCCTGTCTGTCTGTCAGCCTCTTGCTTATTTGCTCATGCTCTTTCTGCCTTTCACCCTCTTGTCAAACTTACTCACACACTAAGCTGTGGTCGATTGTATATTTTCACCTATTCTATGAATCACCCATCGTCTTTGTCTGGGGGCAAAAATCCTTTCCTATTCTTTCAGAGATCTGATGTGGATGTGTAATAGAATTCACCATTACATTGATGGGAGCTCCTTTCCCATCTATGCTCTCACTCTGTGAATGGGAAAGGATTAGTATTCCTCCTCCATCCATCTCCTCCTCCCCATCAGTGCCTCACTGCCTTCCCCCTGCCTGGGACCTCTCTCTCTCCAAACTGTATTACACTCCAGCTACACTTCATCCCTTTCCCTCCCTCTCACACAAACAGATACACACTTCACTTTTTACTCTATTGCCTTTTCTCACGGTCTGTTTTCTCTCGCTCTCTCTGCTTGGCTCTGTGATTGTGACAAACTCTGACAGCAATGAAAGTACATCAGTGATGTAACTGTGTCTTGTTCTCAAATCCTGTTCTCCAAACTCTCTCCGCTGCATGTTCAGTTCTTTCCACGACCACAAGGATGACCTCCGAAAGCGCCTGTCGTACACCACCCACAAACTAGAGATGGTGGAGACGGAGTTCGATTCCACTCGGCAGTACCTCGAGACAGAGCTGCGCCGGGCCCAGGAGGAACTGGAGAAATTTACAGAGAAACTACGCAGGTGTGTGTGTGCATGTGGGCATGACTCTGTGGGCAGCTTGCCTTTTTATGTATGCATGAACGGTCAATTCCCCACCAGGAACAAACCCACCAAAGTCGTGCTGTGACATCAAGGAAATTTGGGTGATAGATGAAGAGTGTTTTCACATGCTGTATCATACAATTGAAAGGCCAGTGGTACTCGGCTCATGGGCCCCTTTGATGTCCTCAAAGTGTTGCACTTGTATATAGTGATGGAAGGTAGTTGTGTGAAGAACAGAAAAGGAGGACAATGGAGGTGTGAGGGTAAGAGGCTTCAGTAGCTGTTTGATGACCAGAGAAGTTGTCTAAAACATTCAAACTCCATCTGTGCTGTAAAAGGACTGCACAAGCTTTTGTATATTGTTCCATGGAAAATCCACATAAAACTACAGAGGGATGAATGTTATGTGGTATGGGTATTTTTAAGCAAATAGCCCCAGTATCCATATAGGGTATCATGCAGGATACCAGGGCTGCAGTCGAAAGTAAAATGACATCCTATGTCTTTTCCTAAACACTTCTCCTTTACCTCGATGGAAAACCTCATGAGGTCAAGGAAAGATGTGAAGGAGAATTCACTGAGAGAATCTGACGGCATTTAGACTTTTTTTAAAAACAACTTTATTTATAACACGTGGAAGCTAAGTACAGTGACAAACTAAATGGTGTAGAAGATCCTCAGAAACCATCAATTACCCTACTCATAGGAAGTAAGTAAAAACAAAACAAACAGGATTGGAATATTGAAATTATATAATGACATAAAGGAATATACAAGGGAAAGTTGAGCCATTAAATTAATAATTAAATAAAAATAAGGATTTGAGCAAGGGCCTAGAGTAAATTATATTGATAGACATATAAAGAGTTTTCATACATTTTTTCATACATTTGTTGGGTAGAGGAAGTTTTTTTTTTGTGCATTCCATAATGGTGTGGTGTGCGACAACATGTATGATGATATTGTTAACTAGAAATTTAATCTGCTTGTTCTTCAAGATTACTCCTGAGTCTATTTGAAAGAGAAGAAATCTATATGTATGGATTTGGAGCACAGCCAATCATGCAAGGATTTCCATAAGTTTTAGATTGTGTGATAAGAATAAAATGTGCTCTGTTGTTTCCACATTTGCGTGGGTGCGTCACTTCAAATATTTCTGTTGCAAGGAACTGTGGAACGGCATTATCTCTCTTGCTTTGGTAAAGCAGGGTCCAGTGTACCCCATGCTAAAGGAGATAAGAAAGGAAGCAATGAAACAGCTTTCCTTAACATTTAGAGAATTCAACCATATCTTTTGTCACTTAGGGGGTCATTTCACTCGGTTAGGAACCTTCCTAAGGAAAAATTACTATTAGACCACAGCCCAGAGTTCATGCCCTGTTACAGACCTGAAATTAACTTTGGTCTTTTTATGAACTATAACCATGACCTATCCCTATCCCTAACCCAATGTGTTTAAGATTAATAACCTTAAACATACTTTTACCATACTTTATTTGCCACAATCACCAACTTCCCCTGACCTTAACCATATTGTAGTTGCCATGTGCAGATATTGCAAAAAGTGAGAATTTGACAAGACACCTTTGAACCTACTGCAATCCGGGGGTTTGTAGAGTCATTTAGTATTGAGGTTCTTGTAAGGCAACAGGGCTATTTCTGTTTTCTCAAAGTGTTGGAAGCACCAGTTAACCTTATATCTGTGTTCATCTGACTGAACAATCCAATTAGCATCATTATATATGTATAAACTATATATGGAACTCAATATGATGATGATGATTACATATTACTAGATTAAAGTTATTTAAACCAAAACTTTAATTAAATAGGCTGAATTTCCCTATTAAGTCCATCAAATCAGACATTTTAATATATACTGCCCGAATTTAAGTGACAACATTTTAATTGAAATATCACGTCAAATGAATGATGATAAAGAGAATGTAGCCCATTGGTGTTCCAAATAAGCCCCCTTTGCTGATAGATAAATACATTTATATATTTAAAAAATCTTAACAACACAAACTTTTCTATTGAAATCTGTAATTTCTTAGCTCTCAATAGCTACTTTCAGTTTGTATCCACTCCTGTCCTAGGTAAATGGCATTTGAAATAAGCGTGACAAGCCTTTTTGCTGTGTTGTCAATGCAGAAAAAGTGAAACTACAACTTGTCTTCTTTGGAATGAGAAAAACTATTTACATTTAGGCTAGTGGTTATAAAACATTGCAAAATCACATTCTAAAGTCTTTCAGTATTTTGTGGAGTAACATCAAAACATACAGTTCATCGGTGAGGAGACAACAATCTAACATCCTGAAAGACTGTAACTAAGCAAATAGGAAAATAAAAAATTTCTACAATTTCTACTTTCTAAAGGGAGAAAATTCCCATCGAAACACAAACTAGTGGGCTTAAGGGACCATCCGTGAATTTATGGTTAAAAGAGATAATATTTTATATAAGTACATGACATTAAAAAATAACATTTTAAAATAAATCTATTAATGGTGCACTAACATAAGATGAAAACTATAAGTGCACTGATTGCTTTGATAACTCAACAATCAGCTCCATTGGAAGAAACATCACACAGCAAAAAAGTTATGCAGCAAGTTGTACTTGATCTTATATGGATGTTTAACCTAAGTATCAAACGATCTGTCACACAATCACACACCTGACAAAACGCATGCAAGCTTTTTCCAGTTTATCTACCACCCATGATCACAACAAGCTGTGTTGTTATTGCAAAATAATGCATCAGCCTCCCCTGACTGCAGATTCTTCACTGCATGTGATGAAGTGAATCATCCTACTAATGCCATGGCCTCTTGACAACAATTTGTTCATTCATAATTTTTATACAAATATGCTCTTTAATTAAAAACATTGTTTTTTTCTTCTTTTATCTTTTAAAACTTTAGAATAAATCTTCATTTATTACTTCAACATGTAAAATAAACCGTAGCCCAGTAACAAATACATAAGCGGCCTTCCAGCTATGAGTTTTAATTTAGCAGCGTGGTGATAACCTCAGAGCAATGACATTATCTGCAAATAGAGCAAACCTTCTGGTCAGACAGAACCGAGTGTTCTCTGTGGCCGTGGTATAAATAAATGTGATTAATATGCTGTTTAAATAAACTTGAAACTTGTCTCTTGCCAAAAACTTGGAAAACTTGGAAAGCAGACGCTATGGCTGTTTGGTGGATGAGGCATTTTTTGTGCCTATGGGACTTTCTCGCCCCAAGTCTGATCCTCGCAGACTGATCCTGCACAAATCCATCTTTTTTTATGATTGAGATAACCCAAACTCACTCTTCCTAATTTTAACCATATGGATGATTGGTTTGGAGATAGAAAGTGCTGCCTGACAGACTCAGGTCTTATTCTCCTCTACAAACAGCATTATGTTGCTCATAATGACTGGCTTTGTTTGTTATTCATCAATTGTCATCAGTATCTGTCTGGTTAATGGAGCCATAAATGCTGGTTTATCAACACTCTCTTTAGTCCCGAGAGCTAATGTGAAAATGTGATACTGAAGTGAGAGGTGACATGATAAAACACCAGGAACAAGTTAACAAAAAGAGAGTTGAGGTCCTGTTCCATTAAGCTCACAAATTCACTGGAAGTCTATCAAAGAGCAATAGTGATGAGAGAAATAAAAGGAGACAGAAGGAGGAGAAAATCATGAAGAAATGAACAAAAGGCCTGTAATTTAAAGAGAAAAATACACAAAAAAGCTCACTATGTTATCCTTCAGCTGCAGAGTTAGTGCTACGGCTGTGCTTATGCATGTTTACCGATTTTCTGTCATAAAATCTTTAAGGATTTAAAGTTTTTTTTGATTCCATACTTTTTTTTTCTTACTATCCCATGCTGTGACGCTCAAACATATGAACCATTTTTACCTTGTTTTGCTCTGGATAGTTGTATCCTTTTTGATCTTCAAATCTGAGTCAGAACTTTAAATATCCTGCAAATCCCCTCCAAGATTCTCCATCAGTGCCCTGATCTAGTTAGGTGTTTACTTCTCTGTCTAAATTTACGTGGAGTGCCTATTTAGCTGTATGAACAGTAAAACACTCTTTAGTCACCATATGCTGTCATTTACATATTTACCAGAGCGTATTTTTGCTCTGATCTTTTAGGATCCAGAGTAGCTATGCAGCTCTTCAGAGGATCAACCAGGATTTGGAGGACAAGATGCACAGGACGGTAAGAGACTTCTGCTGAGGTGTTTGCAGCTTCAACCTCATGTTGCAGAAACTATTATTCCAGTTTCCAACAAAACATCTGTAGCATAAACGCAACAAAAATCAAGGTTCAAAATAACCTTAAATTGTGGTCAACAGATCATTTTCTCCAACAAAACAAAGAGTTACAACAGACAGCTTTACTGATTATCAAATAGCAAAACACTTTACCTGACATATGTACTTTCTTAGCAACACATTTGTGAATTTCACACTTTTATCCCCCAAAACATCAATTACAACCACAGTCTTCTCTTGTTGAGGGAAGTAAAAGTTAAAAGATAGATCTGTTTTTATTAACCATTACATGAAACAATTTGCTCCCATTCAGGGGTGTGTTTCCCAAAAGCATTGTTGTTAACTATGGTAGCAACTTCCTTGGTTGGAACTATGTAGTTGCGCCGCAACTGTTTCCCGAAACCCTAGTTCGAACTACAGAGGTAACTAAATTGGTAACTTACATGGTACGAACCATCGTTAAGCGACGCAGGTGTTCCGAGAAACCATAGTTCCGACGAACATTCGCACCAACTGTCGTTAAGTTGCATAGTTTGAACTACAGCTCCTGACCTTTGGTTAGAAGCTTAGTTCACAGTGACTACGTCACAGATACCAGAAAAGTTCATGTGTTTTAAGCAGGGAATATTAGATAATCCTGCTGTACAAAACATATTTATGGTGAAGGTTTTTTTAAAATGTAGTTATAAAAGTACTTTTAAATGTATTTGTCGGGTCATGGGTAGGGTTGCATTGATTCAGTACCAAGTATCTTAGTGTAGACCATCTACAAACAGCAGGTGTTTTTCTCACAGATTACCCATCTATTCACAATAACTTGATTTAATATTAGTCACCAGTACAAAGATTAAAGGACAAAATGGAGAATGTAAAGACATAACTTTTAATATTACCTTCATGTATACATTTCTAGGCCTCTGAGGACCATGGGTGTTCTCTAGTCTTCATTACAAACATAAATATAAAAAGGGACAGCATAAAATTCATGAAAGTACTGTAATGAATAAATCCCTGAGAGCTTTTGTTGCTATTATAACAAAGATAAATAGAGAACTCACATGATTTGAACCCATATCTGTCTCAATAGAGCACATTCACAAGCTCAGCCACTTACTGCACTGAGCTATTCTTAAGACCTTAATAGCATTTGTGGGCCAAGGGAATCATAATAGTGTTAAATTGTTAAACTGAAGATACTTGCAGATTAAACCTATTTCACTAAATGTCTTGTAATCGTTAATAGTTCTTAATTTTTTCTTCTAAGTTATAGCCTATATTTAGGCTAAATAAAACGATTACGTTATATATATTATTTATATTGTTGATTTCATTAACACCTCGCGACCCTGTGTGCAGGATAAGCGGTTAGTCCAAGTCACGGTGGTACCAACATAGTTCAATGCTACCTTCTGTGGTTGTTCGGGAAACACAGTCTAGTACTGAATGGAAAAATTTTTGTAAACCAGAGCATCACTTCGACTCATCCCAGTACTGAAAGAATTAAAAACAAAGTCTTTTATTTCAAGAAAGATGTAAGGTTGATTACACAACTATAAATAGGGTGTAAATGAGTATTCTCCTTAAGTGTCTTTCTCTGTAGCACTATACCTATACGGTAGGAGTGGTGGACATCTTAGAGGGACATATTGTACTTTTTAGTTCACTACATTTATTTGACATTTAAAGTTACTTTGGAGATTAAGATTTTGATCTGTAACATGTGATATGCTTATAAATTGTGATACATTGTGGTATAATAAACCATCCAACAGTACATTTAGGGGTAAAATTACCAGCTACAACATAAAATGGCTACTTAATAATAATAATAATAATAATAATAATAATAATAATTATAATAATAATACATTTTATTTATGGGCGCCTTTCATAGCACTCAAGGACACCATTACAGATTAAAACAGTTAAAATACATTAACACATTAATGTATCAGTAATTATAATGCAATTGTAAAATATATAATAATATAACAGTCTGAAATAGGCCATAATGAGTGTGATTGCTTTTGATACTTTGTGGACATTTTGCTGATTGGCTTCTGTACTTGTACTAATTTACTCACAATGGAGAATTCTTCTATGTGGTAATGCTACTTTACTTTTAAGTAAATGACGTTGAGTACTTCTTCCACCACTCAGTAGGGGTCAGAGTCCTTCCAGCTTCTCCCACCTTCAGACCACCGCTTGCTTGTACAGGCTTCGCGGCTGTGTGACTACATTATTCTCTGAGCTTTCACATTTCATGACCACTGTGGTTGTTTTGTATTGATGTTAGTAAGAAGTGCAGAATCCTAATGGTGTCTGTACCACAGACCTCTCTCTCATAAAAGATGTATGATGGTGATGGGTATTTGTGAACTCAAATACACACACACACACACACACACACACACACACACACACACACACACACACACACACACACAGGTTGTGACCCAAAGCTTGGCCTGGAATCATTTATTCCAGACCATGAAGTCCTGTAGTTACTAAGAAACCATTACTTACTGTTTGCTTTTCCCTGTTAGATTACACCATGTGTTGAACGAAGACAGCCAAGAAAAAGTTGTTGTCTTGGCAGTAACAGTGTCCTCAGCTCTGCACTTTGTACTGTGAACAATTTATGATTTTTTTTTCAGTCAAATAGATATGTTGGAATTGAGTTTAAAAACAACAGAAGGTCACATTTGAAAAATAGATAGAAAAGAAAACTCTTTTGCACTTACAGTATGTACAAAAGATTGTTGCTAGTGTCAGATCTATCTTTACCCACCTTTTCTAACGTTATCCTTGGTAATCTCTTTGCTAAACATACTATACGGTTGTTATGTCCATTTTTAGAATGTCAACCTTGTTTCGGAGAATTATGTTTTTCTCCATCATTTAGCTGCTATTGCTCGGAGAAGAAGCCAGTCAGAAATGTTAATTAGAGCTGTAGCAATTTTCAGAAAACTTCACAGTAGCATTTTGGAACAAAACACTGCACGATAGTTGCTGAAGTTATAAAAAACTTTACCCAGAACACATTTAAACGGATGATCGTTTAAGGTTTCTATAAAGTGTAGTCTTTAGCTTCAGCACATCAGTGGCTCCCTTAGCAGATTGTAAGATTAGCTTTGGCACTATGCTCCATGTGAGTCGTAGTTTTCTTCTGTCCGTTTTCGAATGTGCATAAGCTTGTACCTACAGATGCCCTGATTACTTGATTAGTTGTCAACTATTAAATTAATAACCAATTATTTAAATAATTGATTAATCGTTTTGAGAAACTTTGGGTTGTGGACAAAACAAGTCATTTGAAGATGTCACCTTGGGCTTTGGGAAACAGTAATCAACATTTTTCATAATTTTCTGACATTTTATGGACCAAACAACTAATCGGTTAATCCAGAAAATGATGGACAGATTAATCAACGAAAACGATTGTTAGTTGCAGCTCTGCTTGTACTCTTGACTTTTTATCAAAGAAACTGCAATTTTGCAAACTGAAGGAAATGTTTTTGAAGAACAAAAATGTATCTGCCGAGTCACAAAATATTCAAACTGCACCCATTTGCAAAAGGTTTGCAACAAAAGCATGATTACAGGTTTTTATGGTTATTTTTAGGCACTTGCAGCGTTTTGTTAAGAGAAATATCCTGGTCATGACACAAAATGTTTAATTAATTAACATTTAAACGAAACCTCGATCTGTCCCTAATCTCAGACAAAGGGGTTGTGTTTCTGGTTCCAGTGTGGAATTGATGCGATATAGGGTTGCGTTTACAAACACTAATTTTTCTTACGGATGATTCAACGAGGAGGGCTTCTGTTAAGTGCTCCAATTGCCAGTCATGTGAAACTGCATATGCAACAAATTACTTTTACTTCCTAACTCCTGAACACCTAAAAACATGTCGCCCACTTTGAAACTCTTTTACACTGTAGATGGAGAGAGATAGAGACAAAAGCATCTGCCAAATGAGTGTAATAATGTAATCTGCACCCACACACTCAAACATAGACCAGTGATTGTATTAAGTAAGTGTTTGGAACCATGCTGAGAAGCCATGGCCTCTTTTCAAAGGGAATATAACTGGAAAAGTGCCAGACTAGAGTTTAAAGCCAAAAGGCAGGAAGAGAAACGAAACATTGATAAATAGATAAGCTTCAGATCTTCAAATACAGTGATCATATTAATTGACATAATGATAAACTATAGTTTAATACAACCAGATAATGTAAGAGTGATGCTGACATTTACTCTTTCTGCTTTCTCGCTCTGTCTCATGTCTAAGAAATGAGAAATCTGCTATAATCGATTTGAACACACCTGTTTAACAGCAAACCACTCTCATCTCTCTCTCAAAGCAATTACGTGATCAAAGACAGGGAGCACAATCAATGTCCAAGGTAAATGGTCTTACCTGCCATGCAACCCCGTTAGAAAACTATTAACAGCTAAACGCTGTTCTGGTCACCTCAGCAGCAGCTGTCCAATCACATCAGGTTGGGAAGTTCCTTGAGAGTTTTTCCCCCTCGCAGCCTCTGCTTTAGGATTCGTCAGCCAGAAGACGAGCCAGCTCTACTGCGAGGTCCATCCTTATTACTTATAGTATCTTGATTGAAGTGGATCGTAAGTTCATCAGAGGTTTGATCCATAGGGCTTTGCCCAGCACACACTCTAATGGAAGAAGACTGTGTAAAGTTATTTGTGAACCAGCAGCAAGTTGCTAGAGTATTGACTCATGGCGAGCTAAATAGTGAAATAAAAAGGCGTTTTTGTTGTCAGCTGATTTTAATGGCCTATTCTACTTTTCCTAACATTTTAGGATAACACTTATTCACTTTCATGCTAAGAGTTACATGAGATCGCTCTCATTATTATTTTAAGTATGGACTTGGAGCCGTTAAGCTTAGCTTAGGATAAAGACTGAAAGCAGGGGG